GGTCCATCTATGTTGCTGCAAATGGCATTATTTTATTCTTTCTTTTTTATGGCCGAGTAGTACTCTATTGTATAACTATACCACAGCTTCTTTATCCAGTCATCTATTGATGGACATTTAGGTTGTTTCCATGTCTTGGCTATTGTAAATAATGCTGCTGTGAACCTTGGTGAATATATCTTTTTGAATTAAGGTTCTGTCTGGATATATGCCCAGGAGTGGGATTGCTAGATCATATGGTAAGTCTATTTTCAGTTTTTTGAGGAATTTCCGTACTGTTTTGCATAATGGTTGCATCAAACTACAAGCTATTTTTAAAGGGTATCTTACTGCCTGGGTAATTTCTGGGAAGTTTTCAATAGGTTTGCATGCATAATCCTCCCAAAGGGATGCCAGTTTAAAAGGTATTTTTAGTTGAGTAATTACTTCATATTGTTTTAAATTTGTTTAATATATTGAATCCATTGTTTTATTTCCATTTTCAATAAAAATCTAGACTGATAAGACTACATCAAATTACTATTCCCTCATGAAAATTAGGGGATTTTGTTGGCCAAGAAAAAGAAATCTTTTAACTGTTGATATCTTCAATAATGAAGTGGATGATTTAAAAAAAAAATTCTTGATTTAAAACAGGAGTTGGCAGTCTTTCTGTGAAGGGCCAGATAGAATATTTTAGAGGATGTGCAGGCTGTAAGGTCTCTATCACTTCTACTCACCTCTGCTGTTTTAGCCTGAAAGGAGCCTTAGACAGTGTACAAATCAATGGGTGGGGGCTGTGTTCCAGTTAAATTTTATTTACAAAACAGGCAACAGGCTGGATTTGGCCCAGGGACTGATAGATAATTGGCTGACCACTGACATCGAATAATACTTGGATTGACTTAGTTTTTCTATCTAATCCATAGAGATTCTATCATTCCATATTTGTTTATAGAGTGTTTTCACATGCATTGTCATTTCTCAAAATTTAAGATTTAGGTGGGGCATATATTTCCCCACTCATTATACAGATAATGACACAATGTGCCTTCCATTGTATCAGAGAAAGTAAGAAAAGTACCAAAATACGTTGGCTGAAATCTCATTCGTTCCAGATTTCGTTAGATGTGTTGGAAGTAGCTGTCATTTTCATTATTTTTGTTAAGATCTTGTTGCTAGGGAGTTGAATATTGGTTTGTGAAATATTTCTTTTTTTTCCTTAGTTTTTTCATTTTACAAAAAGAAACAACTACTCAACATTGAATTTATAAAACTATTAGATTTATTTACATATGAAATATCCTAGGCTAATTAATCATATAACTGGCTTGCATTTATAAATGTCATTTTTGTTTACTTTTTAGGGCCTAGAGATGCTATTGGGCTGTCATTTTATCGAATGTGAGAAGTCAGCCCAGAGATGGAAAACTTCATTCTGTACGAGGAGATTGGCAAAGGAAGCAAGACTGTTGTCTATAAAGGGCGACGGAAGGGAACAATCAATTTTGTAGCTATTCTTTGTACTGATAAGTGCAAAAGGCCTGAAATAACCAACTGGGTAAGTCAACTATATATCCCTCCCTTTGGGGAAAGATAGAGATATATTCAGGTAAAATACATAATCAGAAGCCATTGGACTCACTGTAAGAAATGCCACATTTTCAATCTGGAATGGGCAGCCTTCTGTCTGTCTAGTGCCACCAGTCCTGAATAATGACTAATAAACATACTCAAGTAATTAGTAACTTACTTTTTTTTTACTTTGTTTTTTTTTGTAAGTGTCAGGGAAAGTGTAGTTTATATAAGATTGTTTAAAATTTAGTACATGATTATGAAGCTTTCAAAAGGAAGAACATTGGGGTGAGAGTGACTTAGGTTTGAAATCACTGTAACACTTTACAGCCCAGGCTCCTTGGACCAAACCTCGCTTTTTTTCCGAACCTTTTTTTTTTTTAAATTGTGGTAAAATAAAATTTATCATGTTAACCATTTTAAGTGTACAGTTTGATGGCATTAAATACGTGCATAGTGCTGTACAGCCATCATCATCTCGAGAACATTTTTTAAGAGATTTAAAAAAAAATAACAGTTTTAGGTTCACAGCAAAATTAAGAGGAAGGTATAGAGATTTCTCATAAACCCTTTGCCCCACTTTGCACAGCCTCCCTGCCAGAGTGGTACATATGTTACATTTGATGAGCATACAGTGACACGTCATAATCAGTCAAAGTCCATGGTTTCCATTAGGGTTCATTCTTGGGGTTGTATATTACATGGGTTTGGACAAATGGGTAATGACACGTATCATCATTATAGTAGCATACAGAAGAATTTCACTGCCCTGAAATCCTCTGTGCTCCACCTATTCATCTCTCCCATTCCTCTTCCACTCTCCAAACCCTGACAACCTCTGATCTTTTTATTGTCTCTATAGTTTGGTCTTTTCACAGTGTCATATGGTTGGAATTAGACAGTATGTAACCTTTTCAGATCAGCTTCTCTCACCTAACAATGTGAATTTAAGTTTCCCCTGTGTCTACTTGTGGCTTGGTAGCCCTTCTTTTTATTACTGAACACTAATCCATTGCGTTTGTGTACTGGTTTGTTTATTCATTCACTTATTGAAGGGCATCTTGATTGCTTCAATTGTGAATAAAGCTACTATAAACATCTATGTGCAGGTTTTTGTGTGGACCTAAGTTTTCAACTCTTTTGGGTAAGTACCAGGACTTTGGTTGTTGAATCATCTAGAATGCTTTTCATCTTACAAAACTGAAACTCTGTATACCTTAAATAATTCCCCACTTACCTTTCCCTGGCCTCTGGCAATCACTGTTATGCTTTCTGTCTCGCAAGTTACGTCCTATAAGTGAAATCATGCAGAATTTGTCTTTTGGGGACTTACTTCACTTAGTATGGTATCCTCAAATTTCATCCATGTTTGTAGCATGTGTCAGAATTTCTTTCCTTTTTAAGAAAGGAATACTATTCCATTGTATGTATACACCACATTTTGCTTACCTATTCACCTCTGTGGCCCATTGGGTTGCTTCTGCCTTTTGGCTATTGTGAGTAATGCAGCTGTGAACATGGGTGCACAGATATTTCTTGGAGACCCTGCCTTCAGTCCTTTGGGTATATATCCAGAAGTGGAATTCCTGGATCCTACGGTAATTCTATGTTTAACTTTTTGAGGAACTGACATTCTGTTTTCCAGTATTTTACGTTCCCACCAGCAATACGCAAGGGATCTAATTTCTTCACATCCTTGTCAGTACTTGTTATTTTCTGTCTTTGCTTTTGTGTTTTTTGAAAACAGTCATTCTCATGGCCATGAGGAAGTGTTGGCTTTCGAAAGAAGTGTGGACTGTTGAGGGGAGACAGGTATATGGGACAAGATGCATGTTAGTAGATTCAGAGTTGGGAACACAAGGATTTCTCTTCTGAGAAGGGTTTCTCTGAGGTGAGAAGCTAAGTCAACAGTTAGGAGATGGAGGAACAGGAAGGCAGTGCTTTAGAAAAGAAAGAAAAGGTGTGCATAGTCACTTGGAGGACAGGCTGGCTGGTGCCATTTGAGATTGGGGATCATATATTCGGGGTAGCTTAGTCAGCATGGTTTGTGTCTGTTGCAGTGACTTGGGTATATGCAGAGTGTGTGGAGGGTTGAACTGAACCAGAATTGAAGTATTTGGGTGAGTGAGCTGAAAAGTGAGTGAGTGGTGGTCATGGACTAGGATGTGTGGAAGAGATTTTGGAGGATACAGTTACTAGTAAAAAAAAAAAAAATCTAGCAATGCTCTCCAATAGAAATATGACAGGGGCTACAAATCTGATTTGCAAGTTCATAGTCCCTACATTGAGCAAGGGAAAAATAGGTGAAATTAATTTTATTAATGTCCATTACTTAATCCAATATAGACAATGTATTGTTTTAACATACAATCAATATTAAGTTATTGAGATATTCTTTTTTTATGTTCAAAAATGTTTATTTTAACATTGAGATTGTCCTTTAATATATGTTCTTTAGTAATTCTTTCTTTTTTTTTTTTAACATTTTTTATTGATTTATAATCATTTTACAATGTTGTGTCAAATTCCAGTGTTCACAATTTTTCAGTCATTCATGGACATATACACTCA